AGAGAGAAATATCGACGTGAAAAGGACACATTAAGTGGTTGCCACCCACACGACCCAACCAGGGCCGGGGACAAACTGCAACCGAGGTACGTGACCTTAGCAGGAATCAAACCTGAGTCTCTCCTGACTGCATCCAGGTCGACTCTCCAACTGCTGAGCCAAACCGGTCCAGGGCTCTACCACAGCTTTTTTATCCATTTGTCTACTGATGGACATTTGGGCTGTTTCCAGATCTTAGCTATTGTAAATAGTGCTGCTATGAACATGGGGGTACATATATTCTTTCTGATTGGTGTTTCAGGCTTCTTAGGATATATTCCTAAAAGTGGAATCACTGGATCAAATGGAAGTTCGATTTTTAATTTTTTGAGGAAACACCATATTGTTTTCCATAGTGGTTGCACCAGTCTGCATTCCCACCAGCAGTGTACTAGAGTCTCCTTTTCTCCATACCCTTCCCAGCACTTGTTGTTTGATGATTTGTTGATGGCAGCCATTCTGACACGTGTGAGGTGATACCTCATTGTTGTTTTAATTTGCATCTCTCTGATGATTAGTGATGTTGAGCCTTTCTTCATATGTCTCTTAGCCATTTGTATGTTTGGAGAGGTGTCTATTTAGTTCCTCTGCCTATTTCTTAATTGGGTTCTTTGTCTTCCTTTTGTTGAGCTGTGTGAGCACTCTATATATTTTGGAAATTAACCCCTTATCTGATATATCATTGAAAATTATGCTCTACCATAGAGTGGGTTGCCTTTCCATTTTGGTGGTTGTTTCTTTTGCTGTGCAGAAGCTTTTTAGTTTGATGTAGTGCCATGTATTGATTTTTCCCTTTGTTTCTATTGCCTTAGGTGATATATCAGTGAAAATTCTGCTGCGTATGATGTCTAAAATTTTGTTGCCTACATTTTCTTATAGAATTTTTATGGATTCATGAGTCACACTTAAGTCTTTTATCCATTTTGAGTTTATTCTTGTGTATGGTGTAGGTTGATGGTCTAGTTTCATTTTTTTGCATGTAGCTGTGCAATTTTCCCAACACCACTAATTTATTTATTTTTCTTTTCCTTTTTTGCATTATCCTTACCCGAGGACATTTTGTTTTCCTCGATATTTGCTTCAGATAAAGTGGGAGGGAGAGAGAGAGAGAGAAACATCTCCGTGAAAGGGACACATCAAGCCACCCATACAACCCAACCAGGGCCAGGGACAAACTGCAACCGAGGTACATGCCCTTAGCAGGAACCGCACCCAGGTCTCTTTGGACTGCAGGCCAATGCTCTAACCGCTGAGCCAAACCAGCCAGGGCAACCCAACACCATTTATTAAAGAGGCTGTCTTTACTCCACTGTATGCTCTTGCCACCTTTGTCAAATATTAATTGAGCATATTGTCTTGTATCCATTTCTGGGTTCTCTATTCTGTTCTATTGATCTATCTGCCTGTTCTTGTGCCAGTACCAGGCTGTTTTGATTACAATGGCTTTGTAGTATAACCTGAAATCTGGTAATGTGATCCCTCCTGGGCAGATTTGCAAGCCCAGAAAAGGTTCAGTTATCCTCTAGCTTTTTCCTGGAGGCTAGTAGTCTCAGTTCCTCAGCGCCTTGGAATGTAGTCCTGGTGTTCTGCATAAGAGGATTTCCAGAGGGTGGGATAGATGCTGGTTGTTAATGAGCCTCAATTTGCATTTCTTTGCCTCACCTGGGAAAGGCTGAATCTCTGGGGGGGGGGCACTGCTGCTTTCCCCACAACTCTGGGAAGGAGCACACTGGCCACCGTCCTTTGTGGCCACAACTCAGCAAAAACTCTGAGTGCCCTCCAAATCCCAGTTGTCTCCACAGAGTTCCAGCCCAGTCTGCCCTCCCTCTGCTGTTGCCCCCAGGTGAGTGGCTGTGGCTATTTTAGCACTCTATCCCGGCTCTCTGCGCTGTGGAGCGGGCTTGGTCTTTATTCCCCAAGGGCTCTGCTCACAGCTAAGACTGCTGCTGTCCATGGGCTCCAAGCCCACCATCCTCTCGTGCCTCTGAAGATCCTACCAGTGTCCCTGGTTATATGGTCCTGTTCCACTGCTCTTCTGTTGCTTTTTTTCTGAGGATTTGTCTTTATTTTAGTTGTAATTCCCATTTGGTCCTGGGAGATCGTCTGTGTAGCTTTTATTCACTCTACTTCCATTTTCACATCCTCTATGCCTATCTTGTGCGCAGCTGGGTCACACAGGCCTTTCTGGTGCCCCCATACCCTGCATGTCCCGCCGGTAGCTAGATCGCACAGTCCCTTTGGGGACCCAGCTCTATGCCTATGTTATGGGTTGCTGCGTTGCACAGGCCTCTCTGGTGCTTCAGCACCCCACAGGTCCCTCAGGTAACTGGATAGCACAGTCCCTGCTGGGTCGCACAGGCCTCTGGTACTTCAGCATCCCGCAGGTCCTGCGGGTAATTGGATGGCACAGTCCCTGCTGTGTCGCACAGGCCTCTCTGATGCTTCAGCACCTCACAGGTCCCTCAGGTAACTGGATGGCATAGTCCCTGCTGGGTCACACAGGCCTCTGGTACTTCAGCATCCCGCAGGTCCTGCGGGTAATTGGATGGCACAGTCCCTGCTGTGTCGCACAGGCCTCTCTGATGCTTCAGCACCCCACAGGTCCCTCAGGTAACTGGATGGCATAGTCCCTGCTGGGTCACACAGGCCTCTGGTACTTCAGCACCCCGCAGGTCCTGCGGGTAATTGGATGGCACAGACCCTGCTGCGTCACACAGGCCTCTCTGGTGCTTCAGCACCCCACAGGTCCCTCAGGTAACTGGATGGCACAGTCCCTGCTGGGTCGCACAGGCCTCTGGTACTTCAGCACCCCGCAGGTCCTGCGGGTAATTGGATGGCACAGTCCCTGCTGTGTCGCACAGGCCTCTCTGGTGCTTCAGCACCCCACAGGTCCCTCAGGTAACTGGATGGCATAGTCCCTGCTGGGTCACACAGGCCTCTGGTACTTCAGCACCCCACAGGTCCTGCGGGTAATTGGATGGCACAGTCCCTGCTGGGTCGCACAGGCCTCTCTGGTGCTTCAGCTCCCTGCAGGTCCCGTGTGTAACTAGATCGCACAGTCCCTGCTGGGTCGCACAGGCCTCTTTGGTGCTTCAGCACCCCACAGGACCTGTGGGTAACTGGATCACAAAGTCCCTGCTAGGCTGCACAGGCCTCTCTTGTGCCCCCACACCCTGTAGGTCCCGCGGGCGGGCAGCTGGATTGCACCAGTCTCTCTCGGGCTCCAGCTTCCCACTGCTTTTGTCTTATGTTTGTTTTATATGTAATATCTAGAGCAGTGGTTCTCAACCTTCCTAATGCCATGACCTTTTACAGTTGCTCATGTTGTGGTGACCCCCAACCATAAAATTATTTTCGTTGCTACTTCATAACTCTAATTTTGCTACTGTTATGATTTGCCATCGGAAATATGTGTTTTCCGATGGTCTTAGGCGACCCCTGTGAAAGGGTCGTGCGACCCCCAAAGGGGCCGCAACCCACAGGTTGCGAACCGCTGGTCTAGAGTGTTTAGTTATACTTATTGGGAAAAATAGGAGAAGTATGTCAATTCCATTTTCCTACCAGTGAAAGTTGGTGATACAATCTTGAGCAAGACATTTCACCTCTTTAATAAAGAATTAATGTGCCTAATGCTGAACTAACAGAAAGCACACAGTAAGCACACAAAAAGCACAAAGTAATTTTTTTTTTTTTTGGTACATGCCCCTAGCGGGAAATGAACCCGGGATTCTCTGGTCTGCAGGCTGACACTCCAGCCACTGAGCCAAACTGGCCAGGGCACAAAGTAAAATTTTTTTAAAAACTGAAATGTTTTAAAATGAAGAAGTGTCATAATGCTATGGGATGAAGATAAATTGACTATATCAGCTTATGTCACTGTGTGTGTTTGATTTTCTGCACTTCTTCCTTTAAAAACAACATAATAAAAAACTTAGCGTTTACAACTAAGAAAATGCTTATTCATATTACAAAAAGATTCTTTAAAAAATAAGCACAATGTTTTATTAAATAATTAATTAGCTAAATTCCAAAAAATTTACCCTCCCACTGATTTATACCCAATTTTTATTAAGCAAAGTAGGTGAGGAGTAAATGCCAAGGCTAAGAGGAGCTCGGAAGCCAAGCAAAGAAGGAATCCAGGAAGGATGTCATGAGTGGCAGACTGAGTGGGAGTTCAAGTAAATGAAGTATAAGGAGAGGCTGACAGAGTTGACACTTAGAAGATCACTGGAGACTTTAGCAAAAGAAATGTAAAAGAGTGGTGGGAGAAGAAGCCAGATTTAGGGTAGCTGAGAAGTAAATGTTGAGGAAGGAGCACCTGAGAAGAGGCACTAAGAGGTAAAGCCGAGTTTGAAAGTGAAGTGGAGAAAATACAGGCATTTACATCTAATAGTTCTGATATTACTATTGTAATTGTTACTATAGTAGAGTAATTTCAGAAGAAAGATCAAAAGCCTTAAAACAGAATAGATATATGGAATAAATACTAAGAAGAAATAATTCCAAAATTGATTACTCTTTTAGCTAAAACTTCTCTGAATATACTATAAAGTAATGCTTCTCAAACTATTTTGATGAAGGGCCAGTTTTGAGGGCTTTTTTGCTTTTTACAATATGTTGCAGACTAGTACTACTATAAAATGCAAAAATATCACAGCAATGTGCAATGGCTATGAAAGTTTTGAAACGCTTACTCTTGATTTCTCTCTCCTTATCGTCTCGTGGACTGGGAATAGATAGTTCATGGCCTGGCACTAGCCCACGCTTAGAGCAGCACTGCTCTCCAAAGCTGGACTCGGGCTGCATAGATCTCAAATTCAAAACTTTACTTCTCAACTGGGCTCCAGATGTCCAGGGAAACATCTAACATGAGGGCATTCCATTTCCGTGCCCCTGCTTGTATTAATCAGGGTAGGCTAGGTTATGCTGTCACAAAGAACACTGCAGCCTCAAAGGCTTACCACATGTCTGTTTCTTACTCTGCAAGTCCAAGGTGAGTCGGCAGGAGGCTTTGTTCTGCACACCCACCACCTCAGTGTCTGTGGCAGGAAACAGAAAGTGGAGAACTGCATGTGTGCTTTCCAGGGCCTCACATTTTATTGGCTAGAAGTAGTAGCATGTCTCTGCCATTGCACGGTTCCCTTATATAGGAACCCTCTTTCCCAGCGAGGGTTTCCTCAGAGGCAGACCTCTTGGGAGGGGTTCTGGAAAGTTGTCTCAAGCCAACTTCTACACTCTTTGGTCCATGGGAAATTTGTGTGTGCTTGACCTGCCAAATAGGGAGTGCCAGTTTTTTGCTACTGGCCCCTGTCTCCTTCACCTCTCCCTCTCAGGAAGGTATGGGGGCCAGACCAGCAAGACTAGAAATCTGTCTAAAGAATGTGACTCCCTGCCCTGGCCAGTTTGGCTCAGCGGTTAGAGCGTTGGCCTGCGGCGCGGAGAGACCCGGGTTCGGTTCCCGCTAAGGGCATGTACCTCGGTTGCAGTTTGTCCCCGGCCCTGGTTGGTTGTGCGGGTGGCAGCCACTCGATGTGTCCCTTTCACATCGATGTTTCTCTCTCTCTCTCTCTTCCTCTCTCTCCCTCCCACTCTATCTGTACAAAAAATGGAAAAATGTCCTCAGGTGAGGAAAAAAAAAAGAATGTGACTCCAATTCCTACAGGAACCTCAAACACTAAAAGTAGTCTTTTGGAGGCTCCCTCTTGGTTTGGAGGGAGAATACACACTTCTGTCCTCCCCTGGGAGGTTAAGTTAGAGCATTCTCGCAACATGGGGCAGACTTCGCCCAGAATGAATGATCCAAGAGGGGGAACCAAGCAGAAGCTGTATCCTTTTTATGACTTTGCCTCAGAAGTCACATTGTATCACTTATGTCATATTCCACTGGTTAAAAGGGAGTCATTAAGTCTGGTCCACATTCAAGAGAAGGAGAATTAGGCTTTACTTTCTGAAGGAAGGAGTATCAATGAATTTGTGGGTAGATTTTAAAACCTTTTCTAACTCAGTCTGTGAAAAGAACTATAGTATCAACCTGCCAGAGTCTGAAGCAAATAAATGTCTGACACAGAAATTATTATAATCTCAAAATATTGTTAAAAGCTTTGCTTTTATAAATGTTTAGTAATGGGTAAAGGGATGTACTGCTAGACTCTTGGGAAATGAGATCCAAAAATCTTCAAATACTCCAATAAATCTCTTTCTGCTACAAAATTTTAAAAACACTGAGCAAATGTTTACAAGTATTTGCACAAGGGAAGCTTTAATAACTAATAAAACAAGAGAGTTAAAAGTGTAAGATTCTGTATTTTCCTCCTACCCAGTATTACTATCAAGATACCCACTCCGGCAGGAACCTATCTCTTCATCTGCATGGATGATTGAAGAAAAAAACAATCCAGGAACATGTTGCTGTTTAGAATTGTACAATACTGATTTGGTCAGTGCAGCTCTGGCTTTAATAATCTGGGAAAATCCTGAGGCTTATCAAGGTCAAACAACTTGCCCAGAGATAACCCCACAGCCAGATTTGAGAGACCCAGTGCCCTGCAGACTCCACGGCCTGAGCTCTTAATCACTAAGCAGCATTGCCTCCCTAAACACCAAAACATAACTCAATATGCAGTAAAGATCTGAGTTGGCTTCTATTTCATTAAAAGGAAATTAATATCACTGAACTGAACTCAAAGATAATGAACAAAAACAGAGGACAGTTCAAATGAACAAAGAATAACAGTGACCACCAGTTCTCAAAATACGGGACAAACATGAGCATGAATCATGAGGCTCCACATTTTCCTGTTAGCTATTAGGATTAGAGAACTGCTTTCATCCTGGGTTTAGGGCCAGTGTGGGGGAGCCAGGGGGTGGGGAAGGGAATGGGGTGAGGTTGAGGGGACTGAGGGACAGGCAGTGTAAACATGCTCCCCAAACAAACACATTTAATGAATGCCTTCTGAGGGTCATACACTCTGCTAGGGGATGCAACCTACAGACTCAAAAGGCCTGATGCCAGGCCGTCAAGGAGCTCACAGCCTAGATGGGAGGAGAGACGTGGAAAGAAATAAAAATACCACTTTGAGATACGTGAAACAACAGAAAATGAAATACATTCTATGAAATGAACAACTGTCTATAGTACCCAGGGTGGTACATGCACAAATCAAGGAGATGATGGTAAGGATGATAAACCCACTGTAACAAGGATAGGAGGCCTTAATCACTGCTCTTATTTCAATTAAAGACATTTTAATCAGGACTGCTTTTAGAAACCATAAGCACTAGATGATCAATTTAAAATATAAAACTGTCAAAAAAAGAAGAATTTCCGTTGCAGAAGGGAGATTAAGGAGAGTAAGCCTGATACAAAGAAGGAAAAAAACTACAGAGACCTGCTGGCCTGGCATTAGCAACACCGGGCTCTCTCAGTGCTTGGCCACAAACCAGCTCTGTGGTTTAAATCCCTCAACTTCCCTGAGCTGTGGTTTTGTTTTTCTAAATACAATCACTACAGCCCCTCTCTAGCTCTAAAATTTGTGATCCTAATGTTCCAAGGATAGTCTCTTCGAAAGCCCCCTTAGGTACCACCTGTCCTGGCATGGCTCTCCTTGTCTTTAGGCCCTGAGCCAAACCTCTTTTCTCTCCTCTCCTGACCCACCTCATACAAATGGTCAGGATCACAGCATCAACTATAATCACCCAGATAATACTCTGTAGAAGGATCTGCCACAGCTCCGTGGCTCCAGTGCTGAGGTAGTCCTTCCTTGCACAATGGCCCAGAGAAACCTTACTCATGAGCTTGGATCTAGATGTAGTCCTGTCTTCTTGGATGATCTTGGACATGTGAATTCCTCACCCATCAGGTCAAGAGGGTCTGCCCTGACTCTCTGTGGGTTGTTTATGGGGTCAAATAAATCACTGTACACATACCGTGTATTATGATTATGATTATGATGACTGAGTGCTCCAGATTCAGGGGCTCCTTTAGCCAGAAGTCTTGCCAGGACTGAGCTGTATGTTGTATTGCTCCCTGAGAGGAAGCTTGATGTAAAACAGATACAGCCTTGAAGCTGATGTGCTTCTGAATCTCTCCCCAGAGCAGCTAGTGGCTCTAGAACTAATAAGGTCCCAGTGGACTCTTTCTCTAAAGAAGCCTTTAATGTTACTGTGAATTGACAGTAATGCTGTCCACATCAATCCCACTCAGATCACAGTCTCTGCAACACAACACGTTAGTAACTCTAACTGTAGAACGTTTCAGTCACTTCCCACTTATGTCAACATTCATACCACCCATGGTCCCATTTAAAGTTCCAAGAAGTTAAGATCTGTTAAAATTGACTTCTGGACTCCCCAACAGAGTTTTATGGGACTGTGGGCATTTAACACAGTTAAGGTGTCCATGGGCCTGGACTTTCTAGAAATGACCAATTTCATGTAATCTTCTTCTCAATAAAGACAAATATTAATTAAATGTGTAATTAAATAATTAATTTTATAACTCCCTTGGATATTTATTTACATAAGTAAATTCATTAATGAGAAATAAGTATTTTTTCAGATCAGATTCTTGAGTTTTGCATTTTTCTTGAAAAATATGGTTACAGTGAATATAGTAAGTTCTCAGTTAATCAGCATGCAGCTGTATTTCATTGTTTTAAAGATTTTAGAGGGAAAGAAAGAGAGAGAAACATTAATGTGAGAGCAAAACATCAATCAGCTGCCTCCTGCACGCTCCCTAGAGGGGATCGAGCCCAAAATCCCAGTATGTGCCCTGACCAGGAATCAAACCAGCAACACTTTGGTGCACAGGACAACACCCAACCAGCTGAGCCACACCAGCCAGGGCTGTATTTAATTTTTAAATGCAAAAGAAGACAGAAAGGAGGAGGAGCAGGAGAAATACCAATAAATACATTCCTGCAAACAAGGTTTGATTAACTGTACTTTACAGATGGTGAGACCAATTCAAAGAGGTCCAACAGCAAATCAGTTACAATGAGGGAATTCAAACCCAAGTTTGGCTCACTCTGAAGCTCATGCTGTGCTTCATTCAGGTCTCTGTTCCAACATTATCTCCTCATACAGGCCTTTCTTGATCTCATCACCTAAAATAAACCAGCTAGCACTCTGACTTCCCTCCTTCCTCTACATCCACTTTCTATCCTTTTCCCTGGCTTCCGTTGTTTGTTTAAAAACATGTCTCCTGTACTAGAATGAAAGCTAAGTGGGAATCTTGTTTTATTCTCTGCTTTGTCTCTAATGCTTAAAATAGTGGCTGAGACATGGTGCTCATTAAATAGTAAATAAACAAATGATTAAAAAATCCTATGTGCATGCATTTTTTCATCACATCTCACTGGAGGGTATAGTAAGAAAGTAGATACATACACACACACACTCCACTTCATAATTCTGTCCATAATCTGGGAGGTATGGTCATAGAGTAACAGTTCAAATTGGTTGTGGAGACAACTCATCAATATTTTTATTAAAATAAAAGAGCAGCTGTGTCCTAGAAATTGGAGGACACATTTACAACTGTAGAAGCATGTTCTTGTCTACACTGTATTTATGTCCTTTCTATCAGCTCTGTTACAATAATTAATATACAGGACTGTTTTCATGGAGAGTCCAAGAATTTTTTTAAATGATTTTTCTTATTTTTGCCATTCTAAGGACAATTTAATGCCAAACAAACTTCCCAGATCTTTCGTACAGTTAATTCCATAGCCACTAAACCTCTTCTGATTCACCAACAAAAGCCACATCAACATGAAGCAAGGGAATCATTTATTACACCAAAACAGTCTCTTTAGTACTTCTGAAGTAACTGCAATTTTTGGCAATTTAAATGATTTTGCATTTAAAGTAGGTTCTCTTCCCATTCTTTCTGAAATAGTTGGGAGATACAGCTAATAAAAATGTGTTTCAACATCTCTGACTGGTTTTGCTCAGTGGTTAGAGCATCTGCCCACAGACTGAAGGGTCGTGAGCGCTCAAGTCCCAGTCAAGGTCATGTACCTGGGTTGCAGGTTCAATCCCCAGCTCTGGTCGGGGTCCTGCAGGAGGCAGCCAGTTGATCTGTCTCTCTCACATTGATGTTTCTCTCTTCTCTTCTCTTCTCTTCTCTTCTCTTCTCTTCTCTTCTCTTCTCTTCTCTTCTCTTCTCTTCTCACCCTCTCTCTTTCACCCTCTCTCTCTTTCACCCTCTTTCCCTCCCTTCCATTCTACCTAAAAATGGATGGAAAAATATCCTCGGGTGAAGAGTAACAATAACAACAACAACAAAATGTGTTTCAACAAAAAAGAATTAAACAGATTATGAAGCTTCTGGGTCATCTGGGATTATGTGAGATTTATTATTCACTATCTTATCAGGCATTCACCCCAGGAAGATAAAACTTTAAAAAGAAAGTGATGCCCCCAAGGGTATATGATTCAGGGCACATACCTCCTTTATTCAGGTAGAATAAGTGCCCAATAAATGTTGATCCATCAATAATGGATACCTTTCATATAATAGATACTCTAAAATCTAAATCACATACCTAATATTCAACAATGTGGCCTAGAACAGAAGGGGAAGCCATGTCTGGGGGGGGGGGGGTTATGGGGGTGGATATGCTCTTCTTCTTGACACCCGTGAGCAGAATACTGTTGCATAGACCAATTCATTTTGTGTTTTCATAATTACCCAGATTCTCTTCTTTTGTCAGAATTCATTCCCAGTAACAGCTTGAGCAATGTAGCAATCGTGCTCTGAAATGACTTGTAAACCACAGACACAAATATTTGGGCCAAGAATGTGGAATCCATTGCTGTCACATTCCATTATTTCTGGTGGAGCAATTCACTAACATTTTGGAATCTAGATCATAAATTATGCAGAGACTCAGCAAAAGAGCTGAGGACACAAACTGCTGTAATAAAATTCCTGTTACTAGAGCCATAAAACAGAACAAAGGAAAGACAAAGAAGAAAAATCAGGGTTGGACTTTTCTGACATTCCTTGTCCACCATTGTTAATGGTTTCACAAAATGAATATATAATATTCAGGAAATCATCAGACAAGCCAAAAATGATATGATGGGCATACTGTCATTCATAAACACTACCACCACTATGAGATTCCCCAGAATAATGTGAGTTTTTTTAAGAAAGCTTGAATGTTGACATAAATAAAAGTGCCTAAATATACAACATAGCCATCTGTATATTTTTCATGACTCTCAAGGAGTGTGAAATGTCCAACCATTGCACATAGGCAGTGGTCAAATTTTCTGTCTGGATGTATTATAAAATGTCAGTGGGAGAAAGCTCTGCATTAACATGTTGTAGAGTAAATCATTTCTCCCCTCTGTGGAAAGTGAGTTAATGGCAGAGCTGGAACTAAAACCCACATCTCTTGAATCCCAACCCACTAAGTTTAGTCCTGCAGAATGATGCCCCAAGCATAGTAGATGTATGAAAATTACTTGAAGGACAGATGGATGGAAGAATGGGTGAATAGATGGGCAAATAGATAAATGGAAAAGTTAATGAAATAATAAAACCATCTTCTGGGAGAAAAGGTCAAAGAGAACATACCACTGAAATACTTTAGAAATAAAGAACTGAAAAGCCAGATGGATCATGCTTAGCAACCATTCCCAATTTGACTCCAAGAATTCTTTCAAGTATAACTTTGTGTTGGAGAGCACTGATAGATATATAGCTATATACATATGTCTATATTTCCCAAAAGGAATAATGAATGTGAGGAAACACATAGGTGAACATGTTTCCTAAACAGAACTGCTATTATTTGACAACATTTAGTATGACTCCCTTCTTCAAGGGAAAACAGAGAAGGTGAAGAGGGGGAAGGCCCTAGAACAGAGAGAGACTAAAAGTCAGGCATGTACTTTATAAGCATACCACTGCTTCTGCAATTATGGCAAACATATTTAGAAGAAAACAAAATGCTTTTCAAGACTATATAGAAGGTCTAAAATGTTAAAACAGGAAAAAGGGGCTTACTGCAAGTTAAAACCATATAAGGGAAGAAAGTTATTTTTTTCACCAGCATGGGAGGAAACTTTTCTTCTAGCAAATCCCACAGCACAAAAGGAACTAGCTCCAATCATGCCTACGTCAGGAATCTTCAAGTTTTCTACAAAGAAGCACTACGTACTTTTAATTTCTCCAGAGCTTTGGCATCACTCAGAGCAGGAGGGAAAGGGAGGAAGGAAGGGAGGAAGGGAGGAAGGGAGGAAGGGAGGAAGGAAGAGAAAAAGAGCCTAGTGATGCCAGCAGTACCCAAAGGTAGAGAGAGGTCTCAGTGCAATACCAGCCACAACTTCCTGAGCCTGTACTGTGTGCCAGGCATCATGCAAGGCGCTTCACATACATTGTCTCATTTAATCCTCAAAAGAGCTGCAGCTTCTACACCCACCCCGACGGTCTATTCTTACCTCCATTTTACATATGACAAAATTGAAGCTTGAAGAGCTGATATAACTTCCCCAAGGCTACACAGCTCATAAATGGCAGAGGAATAACTCAAATCCAGGGCTATCTGACACCCAGGCTCAGGTTTTTCTGGGTCCTGGTTGCCATGGCCTCTCCCCTCTAAGAATCCCAGGAAGCTGTGGCTTTACCAGGCTTAACAGTGGGAGATGATTTGGAAATCCACCAAGTGTACCTTCAAGTTCTTTCAAGACAATGACCTGATATCGCAGGTCAAAGTTTCAAAAATCTGGGTTTACCATTATAAAATAACTGGCAGTTATTGTCTTTCTTTGGTAAAAACCTCTGGAAAACCAAAATTGCTGTGCTATGGCCATTCCTTACTCAAGTC